ATTCCTTTAACTGACACTCATCATTTTCTTCCAAGAAAAATAACAGAACACTTGGAATTATCACTTCATCTGGAGTGTACATGTGAAGATTTCAGACACTTTGAAAAAACTATAATTTGCAAATGGGTGGTGTTGCAGGAGCATGTCAAACCTAGGAATGTTCGATTCTTTAAAGGGGGAGTTTAATCAACTTCTAAAGAAAAACTCCATTGTGGAAGTTCTGAAAACTCCGCTGTCTCATGGTTTTTCAGATCCATGAATTTCCTTATCAGGGACCTCTGAAGGCCACCCAGTGAATCACCAAGTCACTGGGTGGGAACACACCTAGCCCAGGAATTCCGACTAACTACCTAATCCATACTCCTTTACCGGGGGGGAGCGTGCAAAAGACACTTCACAACCTGCCTCGGGGGCTTTCCAGTGTGTAGTCCTCAGCTTAGGAAGTTGTTCATTCCAAAGTCACTGCTGTTGTGACAGTCACAAGATCAAGACCTTTCCAGTCTCAGCAAGAACAAGTGCGGAACTCAGACACATCCTTCTCCTTAGTAAGCCAGCTTAGTTATGCTTCTTTTTAAAATAATCGTTGTATGCAGTCATTTCGTACAGTACTGTGTAGTACATAAGGACGTTTTCATGCCAGTACATTCTGGAATCAAGTATATTCTCCCACATTCCCCTTCTTCTCCCCTTTTCTCTCCTAGGCAGTTTCACATCTAATTTCATGTCATATATATGATTTTACAGATCTATATAAGATCCAGGAACCACATATGAGAGAGAACATGATATCTGTCTTTCCAAAACTGCCTTCACTTGTTTCATTGGCTTACCTCTGGTGGCATCCATGGTTTTGTTTGTTTGTTTGATTATTTTTTGTTTGTTTTTCGAGACAGGGTTTCTCTGTGTAGTTTTTGGCATCTATCCTGGATCTTGCTCTGTAGCCCAGGCTGGCCTCAAACTCACAGAGTTCAGCCTGCCTCTGCCTCCCGAGTGCTGGGATTAAAGGTATGCACCACCACCCGCCCGGCTGGCATCCATGTTTTTATAAATGACATAACTTGGTTCTTCTTTATGGCTGAAAGAAATGGCACTGTGTATGTGTACCACACTTCCTTGATTCATTTCTCTATTCGGGGACACTCAGGTTGGTGCTGCAAGGAGTGCTAACGTGTGAACATCTCCAGCATGTGTTGATTTGAAGTCCTTTGGGTAAATGCTTAGGTGCGGTGGTAGATCTAGTTTTAGTTTTTCAAAGAACACCTCTACTGATTTCCATAGTGGCTGGACTAGTTTACACTCCAACTGGCCATGTATGAAAGTTCCCTTCAACTGGGGCTGGGAAATGGCTCAGGGAGCAAAGCGCTGGCTGTGCGAGGATGAGGGCCTGAATTTACGTCCCCAGGACCCACACAAAGAGTCAGATGCAATCCTAGCACCGAGAGGCAGAGACAAGAGGACATAATGAGCTTACTGGCTAGTCAGGCTAGCTGGTTAGTGAGCCCCATGTTCAAAGAAAGACCTTGCCTCAAAGAATAAGGTGAAACGCACTAAGGGAAGACATTTGACATCATCTTCTGACCTACACACACACACACACACACACACACACACACACACACACACACACATCACACACACACACACACACACATCTCACACACACACAACATACATCACACACACACACACACACACACACACACACACACACACACACACGCACACACACACACACACACACACACACCTTTCAATCATGTGTGTGACTCTGGCACAAAGCCAAGATGCTTCCTGGGACTCCCAGTTACAGACAGGATACTAACATCTCACTCTACAAATGAGTTCATTAGTGCTATGCTAAATAAAGTATTCCTTCAGGGTGACTAGAAATATGGCAGCCCAGATTGCTTCCCACAGCATAAGCCTGTTTGAGAATTAAAAGCCATCCTCATCTCTAGGGCCAACAGTAGAAGAGAGAATAAAGCAACTTATGTAGAAATTTTTATATTAAACAAAAAAAAGTGCAACGCTTTAAAAAGTAGGTGAAGAAGCTATCCAAGGTTTAATCTATGACCTACTTTTATTTCTGTCCCCTACAGAAGTAAAAAGAGATTCTAGCCAAGTGTGAGCAGACGGAAAGAGAGAAGTCACTATCAGATATGGCATCATGGTTCTAAGCAACAGAAGACAAGTGCAAACCAGATTAAATAATAAACACATGTCATAAAGACACCCAGAGGCAACCTGGCCTGTAGGGTTGGTAGATTTAGTAGCTCAAAACTATGCTCTTCAAGAGCCAAGGTATGGAAGCAGGCTAGAGGCCCATCAACTGACTAATGCAAGAAGAAAATCAAGTACATATACACAAAGGGAATTTTACTCAGCTATTAAAAAAAATGAAATTATGACTTTGCAGGAAAATGGACAGAGCCAGAGATCACTATGTTAAGTGAAATATGACAGACTTGGAAAGACAAATGATACATTTTCTCTAGTATGCAGAATCCAGATTTAAGGAGAAAGCAGAAAGGGAGCTATGGCAGGGAACCGTGAGTCCTAACAGGAAGGGTGGAGGCCAAGTGAGAATAAAGAATATAAGATAAAGAAGCAGGAGGGGAGTTTGTGCTTCTACTCACTGAGGACACACACACACACACACACACACACACACACACACACACAGAGGGGGGAAGGCACACATACACATGCACACAGACAGACTGCATCCCCCACATTAAAGGTGGTAACTCTTTCCTCTTCCCATGATTCTCTACAATGCCCCAAGAGTATGCTAGGTTTCTGAAATCTGGTCACAGTATGTGGAGATGGGGGATGTGGGCGTGATCCTAACAGCTGCCTCAGAACCTCTTCCTCTGCAACCTTGTTTTCACTGGGACAGCTGGATTGCCATGTTGTGTTTAGGGAAAGACTGTGTTTATACTCAACATCTCCTAGGCCACTGCCAACTTTCTCTAACAACAGAGCTCTTCCATGATGCGGTGTCTGAAAAGCATGGAGGAGGTCAAAACCTATCTTGAAATGTTGAAAGAAGCCAAGCTGCCTGCAAGCTGCCCACACCCCTCAGTCCGGGCAGCTCATGGCCCGAAGGGGCAGTACTTGCTTGCTCCTGTTCCATCAGCACCCTTGTGGCTCAGCCTAGGGAAGTAGACCGGTTTACACAAGGAGAGAAACATCTTAACCTCTGTGGTTCTCTTCTGCTCATCTCTGTGGTACAAAATCAAGAGGAAGGGGACCCTGAGACCTTACCTGGCTGCCCTCCAGGAAGAGTTAGTTCCTAAGGGTCCCACCAGGAAGAATTAGTGCTAAGCAGGAAATTTAAAATAATGACCTTTCACAGAGCAAAGAGGACCTGAGGAAGGAACCGGAAGTGAAGAACAAGCATGGCAGCTGATTCCAGAATCTTCACTGTGCTGATGAGTCAGTGCCTGTGACTTCAAGGACAGGAATCTAACTTGACTAATCGTGCAGTAGAAGCTTTTACTCCTTGTTCTGACTATCTGAAGTCCAATAAACAAACACGTGTCGGGAACATACTTATCTACGGGAGGCACTTGCTTTGTACCCTGGGTAACTGGGAAACACTCTGTAAGCCCCCTCCTGCACACACAGACACACACCTTGTCACAGAACGCTCCCACACAAGGAGAGTGAAATTGCTGTGTGATGAGCATAAAGTCGTGGGTGTTTCCAAGAGTTGGGAATCGAGCCAGGTGTAAACCGATAAGGGGAGGGAGGCCCAGCGGTCCCTCGGCCTGCCCCCACCCTGACTCTGCTAAAATCCTTATTTGGTAATGCTTTTACCTGGGTCCCTGAACTCAGAGCCAAGCCTGTTCACGAAGGACCACAGCTGGGGAAGCATCGCTACACCACGCCACTGACGTCCCTTCCCCAAGAGATGAATGGAATTCCAGGAAGCTGGAATCATCTTGGCTTGGGACCCGTGGCATGAAGACCACACTTCAGAGACAGGAGCATCAGGCAGCAGCCGGCTCATGGAAATGTGTATACCCACAGAAATGTAACCCACACCTCGGTTTCGGGAGCCGAAAAATGAAAAGAACGTTTAGGGAGAAAAATGGGGAATAAAATAATGGGCAGAGAGTAATTTATTACTCTACGGGTCGGTTCTGTAAATAGGGTAAGATCCTGGAGCCAGACGGTTCAGCAAATTCTCCAACCAGTCACGTTAAGAAACACGAGTGGGCACAAAGCTGTTTTTCAAGACACAATGTCAGTTTTGCCTTGCGGGAGCTGGGCACGAATCCGCTTCCTTAAAATGCCCCTAGAAACTATCCGTCCGGGATCCCCTAAATCAGAATACATATACCGCCCCCAAGCGGCGAGTTGAGGACGCACATTAGAACTGGGGAAGAACTCTGGACTTGGACAGTGGGAAGGGACCTCGGTGCGCGGTCCTGCTGCTGGCCCTGGCTGCACCGCACTTGCCACCCTCAGTGGGTCAGGCGGAGGGCAGGCGTGCGGGACAGGAGTGGAGCGCGAAGCACAGATGGCGCGGGATCCCCCACCCCACCAGGATAGACCCTATTAAAGAGTTCCGACACACTACCCTTTTTCACTTTTATTTTTAAACCAGACATTCTCATCTCCAAGTGTCTCCGTCATTGAGGCATTCAAGGAGACAGGCTTTAGTGAAAACCCCCTTAAAGGGTCTTAGGTGATGCCCGAAGGAGCATCGTGTCTGGGAACCCTCAGGAGGAGCGCCTCCAGCCCCCGTGGCGCAAGAGCCTAAGCGCTGAGCCCGAGTACGCCAAGGCTGCGTGGGTGGAGACCTATTTTTCTGAGAAGTTCCAGGGCTTCTGTGCCCGATCAGTGTCTCCCCCTTCACTTTCAGCCCTCGAGCTGCACGCCAGGCAGCCCGGGGGGGGGGGGGAGGCGGGGGGGGGAGGCAGGGGGGGAGGCGGGGGGGGGGCGGAGAGAGGAACCCGTGTCGTCTTCCCCCCTTTGCCCCCCTCCGCTTCCTGCCCCGACTCCTATTGGCCAGGACGATTCCCAGGAATGCGAGCGCCCCTTTAAATGGTCCAGGGCTCCTCTGCCGAGCCAGCCACTGCCCGGACTCAGCCAGCCTCATCGGACTCCTGCAGGCAATCCCGACGGTCCCGCCACCGACTCTCCGGGCGCACCGGCCGCCCCAGCGTCTCCACCAGACTCGGCGTCCTTGTCCTCCGTCCTTGTCCTCTGCTGCACCTTTGCCGCCACTCCCGGCTGCTGCGCCCCGGTGCACACAGGTAAGCCACCGACCGCCGTCGCCGAGCACCTGGCCAGCCACCTCTGGCCCCTAGGAAGCAGACGGTCGAGCGACTCCCTGTCTCCTACTTTTCCGGGTCTACTTGCCCTAACTGTCCCTCATCATGCCCGGTCTAGCCGCTGGAAAGAACTTTCCGGAGCTGGTTCTCTCCAGCCTTAGGGTTCACAAACAATTCCTCCAAGACACCCCCAGATTTCCTCACCTTTTCTCAAAAGTCTCTGACCTTTGCTGTCCGTATCCCCAAGTACATTCTAAAGGGCTGCAAGGGAAAACCCCAAATCACTTTATGCCCTTCTTCGTGGAACGTCACAATCCCCTGCGTCTGGCGCTCTTAGTTTTTACTGGATGCCCTCTGGAAAGTAAATCCTTTTGCCTTTCTTTTCAACACACACACACACACACACACACACACACACACACACACACACACACACACACACCCTGCTGCCCTCCTGGTCTCTGATTCTAACCTCCTGCGCTTCTTGCCACAGGCTCTGTGCTGGGCACAAAGGCTCTACCATGGAGCTGGTCTGGGGACTAGGCGTCCTGTTCCTGTTGCGTATGTGTGGCAGCAATCGCATTCCAGGTGAGTCTCTGTCTCTATGTCTCTCTCTCTATGTCTCTCTGTCTCTCTCTCTGCGTGTGTGTGTGTGTGTGTGTGTGTGTGTGTGTGTGTGTGTGTGTGTGTAGAGGGGGTACAAGACAGCTCAGGTGTACCCCTCCTGTGTTCTCCCTAGGCTGTGTCCTCTGAGCCCTTAGTGCCAGGGTGCAGTTTCTCTCTCTGTGGTCATTCAGCTCTCGGTGACCACCAAGAGTTCTCACTTTGCCCCCTCACAGCCAAGACCTACACCCTTACCCCCAGCCTCGAAAGCTGATTATCTTCTCCCACCCTACAGAGTCTGGGGGAGACAACAGTGTGTTTGACATCTTTGAACTCATTGGAGCTGCCCGCAAGGGCTCCGGCCGCCGACTGGTGAAGGGCCTTGACCAGTCCAGCCCTGCTTTCCGGATTGAAAATGCCAACCTGATTCCCCCTGTGCCTGATGACAAGTTCCAAGACCTACTGGATGCTGTGGGGGCCGACAAAGGCTTCATCTTCCTGGCTTCCTTGAGGCAGATGAAGAAGACTCGTGGCACACTCCTGGCCGTGGAACGGAAAGATCATACTGGCCAGATCTTCAGTGTGGTCTCCAACGGCAAAGCAGGCACCCTGGACCTGAGTCTGAGCCTGCCGGGGAAGCAACAAGTGGTGTCCGTGGAGGAAGCTCTCCTGGCCACTGGCCAGTGGAAGACCATCACTCTGTTTGTGCAAGAAGACAGAGCCCAACTCTACATTGACTGTGAGAAGATGGAGAGCGCTGAGCTGGACGTTCCCATCCAGAGCATCTTTACCAGGGATTTGGCCAGTGTCGCCAGGCTCCGCATCGCAAAGGGAGATGTCAATGACAATTTTCAGGTAAGTCTTCTTACCTGCCACAAGGGCTATGTGGAGATGTCTGTAGACTAAAGTATTCCCAAATACAGGGAGCATCAGACAACCCCAGAGGGCTGGTTAAATCATACACCGCTGCCCCAAACTCCAGGGTTCATTCAGATTTGGTAGGTCAGGTGAGGGGCCTGAGAAATTTCACTTCTAATAAGAAGTTGTAATGATGCAGGGCCTGGGAACCATGCCTTCAAAGCTACCCATTGAGATAAATGGTTTCCCTACTACACTCAGCCTGTTCCAGTATCAGGCACTCCTTGTACACTCTTAGGAAAATAACTTGTATCAAATCACCTACCAGTTTTTTGTTTGTTTGTTTTTTTTAGTTTTTTCGAGACAGGGTTTCTCTGTGCAGCTTTTGCGCCTTTCCTGGATCTCGCTTTGTAGACCAGGCTGGCCTCGAACTCACAGAGATCCGCCTGCCTCTGCCTCCCGAGTGCTGGGATTAAAGGCGTGCGCCACCACCACCCGGCACACCTACCAGTTTTTGAAAAGGATACTTTGTCAGCATTTGAGTCCCTGGGTAGGGTGTTCTGGATGCTTCCAGTCTGGATCCAAGGTAGGAGTAACAGTCTGATCATGTGCTGTTCTGCCTTGTTTTTTTCTTCTTTTTTTCTTTTCTTTTTCTTCCAAGCGTGGCTTTGAACTCCCACATCTTTGACACTAGGGAGTATCAGAGTATCCTATGCTCCAGACTTGGGATCAGATTCCATTTCCTGTGTACCCCAAGCAGTCTGATAACCAGATAACTGGATTCTTTGTAAATTGCTCAAATTGGCAGAAGACACATTAGGATTTTGATGTTGTTTGGCAGTTTACGTCCATGTGATATTCTGGCCGGGTGATCTTAAAACAGTTCTTTTAAACTCACCGCATGCTTTCCCAAGGGGAATGAGACAGGCTGCCCCACCCCCACCCCCAGCATTTTACAGTGTGTGTGTCCTCTGCCCACAGGGGGTGCTGCAGAATGTGAGGTTTGTCTTTGGAACCACCCCAGAAGACATTCTCAGGAACAAAGGCTGCTCCAGCTGTGAGTATCTCCCCCCCACACACACCATGTTTCTGAGATTTGGAGAATTCTGGGGAATTCCACCAAAAACACCCTGATAAATAAGCAGTAGGATTTATACACAACGTCCCAGGGGGGACGTAGTTGAAGTACACAAAAGTGACCCTCAAAGGGTATTCCACACGTGCATGCACCCGATCTACATTCGTCCCTCATCCCAAATGGAATGTCTTGTACAAGAACCTGCAGGGGCTGGGAGACCAGCTGTTGAAGCCTTTCTATTACATGTTGTTTCTCAGCTGCTACCAACGTCCTTCTCACCCTTGACAACAACGTGGTGAATGGTTCCAGTCCTGCTATCCGCACCAACTACATCGGCCACAAAACAAAGGACCTGCAAGCCATCTGTGGCCTCTCCTGTGACGAACTATCCAGCATGGTCCTAGAACTCAGGGGCCTGCGCACCATCGTGACCACACTACAGGACAGCATCCGAAAAGTGGTCAGTGGCCTCTGCTCTCATTTTCCAGCCCATGAAGATCACCATAGGTGGTCCCATGGGAGACTAGACACTCACGAGCATTCTCCCCTTTCAGACCGAAGAGAATAGAGAACTGGCCAGTGAGCTGAGGCGGCCTCCCCTCTGCTTCCACAATGGAGTCCAGTACAAGAACAATGAGGAATGGACTGTAGATAGTTGCACTGAGTGTCACTGTCAGGTAAGGGATACTCACAAACTACAGTAAGAATTGATGGCCTATGTCTCAGGAGATACTCAAGTGACCACACACGTTTTTAAAATATGCCCTGGCCTGCGACCAAAGTGATTTTTTTCTTTAATATGTAATTATAACATCTACAAATTCTTTTTTACCTCCATAGATTCCTTTTTAGCTCTCAGAAGGGTTATCAAAGTCTTAATTATGCACCAGGCTGAGTAGCTAAGAGAACAAACCTACCTAAACATTAGAATAATTTAGCTGCTTTAGTGTTCAAAGACCAAGTATTGAATGTCAGGTACATAAAACCTGCTTAGAGCATTCTTTTTTGACCAGCCCGGATTGGTATTCCGCTCTGGCAAGGAGGTTCTTCTAACACTGTTCAGATCTCTAGCTCACCAGGAAAAACAAAGCTTAAATGCGAAGCACTGATTGCTGAATTTGAGACATAACCTCCGTTAAAGTCCCATTTTTTTCTCTAAAATGTAATAAAGCTGTATCTGCATTTGAGATGCTATGAGATACGAGCTACAAAGTTCATTGATTTCCCTTATACAAATGTGCTGTTCTGTAACTTCCACACCGGACAGAGTAGCAGTTATAAAGAACTTTCCAAAGAATGGAGTGAGAATTCACCCTGCAACTTTGTGACACTGAGGTCTGCAGATCCAGCAGAGACATCCCTCCTATAAAAACTGCTCTGTTAGAACACTTACTGCCCTGACTGAGTCCTGGCTTATCATGGAAATGTCACAGAAAGCTCCTCTTTGCAATATGCTTGGTAACATATTTCCCTCTCCTTCACTTGCCCTGCAGAACTCAGTCACCATCTGCAAAAAGGTGTCCTGCCCCATCATGCCCTGCTCCAATGCCACAGTTCCTGATGGAGAATGCTGCCCACGGTGTTGGCGTAAGTTCCTAAAGTGACATAACCATTCTTCAGTGGCTAGCTCAGTTTGGGGGCATCCTGACAGCTGGGCTCAGCACTGGAGCCCAGCCCCTCCCAGCTCCAGCAGACTTTTCCAGGCAGATTCTTGCAGAGTGGATTTAGGTAACTAAAAGCTAGTCTATTTGAACAGAGCCCAGACCTCCATGGTGACCAAACCTTAACCTTCCATCTGGATTATGGCATAGGCAATGATCTTGATGGAGTTTATGGGTTCTAGTGTTATGCTGTGAGGAGAAGAGTTGAATATGGCAGTAGTCTTAAGCTGGTTGCTTTTAGAAATTCATCTTTTTGTTAGAGAAAATTATCCACCGGAGAATTTATAGAAACTGGTATAAGCATTGGACTGAGGGTTGAAAAGCCACCTGTTTTATCTGCAGTGTTAGGAGGCCTAAGAGATTAGGATCTGTTGAAGTTCCAGGGTAATAAAAGAAATCAGCTACTATACTGCTGTGAGACATTCTGCCTCTGGGGCTTGTTGCCAGTATAACCACTTGGTTGGGGAGCTATTTTAATGCAGAAAGTGCAAGTCATAAAAGTGACTCATCGCAGATCAGAGAGAAATCAGGGGTGTCGAATTGCCCTTTACTCACACACACAGAGTTACACACATGAGCCATGGGTCAGAATAATCAATCTCATGGGAGCAATTTTGGCACAACAATGTTTTTCTGTATTATCTCTTTCTGTCCAACATCTGTCTGAGGTGTGAGTTACAGGGAACAAAGCCAGCTGAGAGCTAGCAGAGCTGTGAGCCTAAATTAGGGTTTGCTAGGAAGACTTTCAACTGATGACAAATGAAAATGGCAGCTCCCTCTCTTCTGATAGACACATGTCATTGTCACACGTGTCTAAGCAGATGGTAAAGAAGCATATTCTCCTCTTGTGAAAAGTATGAAAGCACCAGACCACACAAAAGCCTGTGAAATGATGAGCTCCTCTCTCATTATGACTTGAGTAGCCAAGCATCTGGTGTACACATAAATGTCAACAACTTCTATTTGTTAATCATGCTTCCATAAAGCTAGAAGTATGAAGAAAAGAAGGATTTTAAAAAGAAACCCATTGCTTTGCAACCTCAGGCAATGAAGGGCCCTGAACGGAGCCCTCTAAAGAGCAGTTTATCCTAGATACAGGTGCCAAACGAGCCTGTTTCTTCCCACAGCCAGCGACTCTGCTGATGACGGCTGGTCCCCCTGGTCTGAGTGGACTTCCTGCTCGGCAACGTGTGGCAATGGAATTCAGCAACGTGGTCGCTCCTGTGACAGCCTCAACAACAGATGTGAGGGCTCTTCAGTACAGACGAGGACCTGCCACATTCAGGAGTGTGACAAGAGATGTAAGCACCAAGGCCGCGAAGGGGTGGCAATCTCACTTCTTAATGCTGTCACCTCCAAGAGCAACTCCACAGCAAGGAGCTGAGGGCACAGGTTCTGGGCTTGGGATCTGAGCCACAATTACACTCCTAATCTCTGCACTCCTGAGAATGACCTTCCCTCCCCTAGCTTCCTCCGCATCTATTACATGGGAACAATAACCATTCTTGATAAAGTTTTATTAGGCATTTTCTCTAGATAAGGCACATGAAACAATTAGAATAGAGCTTGGTTCTTGGCCAGTAGCCTATAAATGTTGAGCTATTGACATCAGCTCACACAGACAGCTAAATACCATCTTTCCTGTGCTAGTTTTTCCACTGACATTGGCATGTGGCCATAGTTTCTACTGCACACTTGTTTAGTGGCCATTGACTACTTGCTAGAATTATTGGTGTCTGAGACTTTCTTTGTGGCCCTCTCCAGGGCAGCACCAGTTGTGACCATCAGATTTACCTTTCAGTTAAGCAGGATGGTGGCTGGAGTCACTGGTCCCCATGGTCGTCTTGTTCCGTGACCTGTGGTGATGGTGTTATCACAAGGATCCGGCTCTGCAACTCTCCCAGCCCCCAGATGAACGGGAAGCCCTGTGAGGGTGAAGCTCGGGAGACCAAAGCCTGCAAGAAAGATGCCTGCCCAAGTAAGTGTGGGCCTGACCCAGGGACATATGGGAGGCGGCTCTGCCCAGCTGGTCGCCTCCTATCTGTGGCCTCCAGCTCAGTGGGCTGTGGAGCATGGGAGCCCACTCACTAGAGAAACAAACAGCAACCAAGTCCTGCTTGCTCAGCAGCTTCTTTTAATGAAAAACAGAAAGAAAACCATTTCAGCCATCCCCAGTTCCCAAACATTCTCCCCATGGGCTGGGTTCGAAGGCATTTCTGATAGGCTCAGGACAGGTTTCTGGGACAGCTAAGGCACCTGAAAACTGGATTTTTACATGTGACTCATTTTCTTACAGTCAATGGAGGCTGGGGTCCCTGGTCACTGTGGGACATCTGCTCTGTCACCTGTGGCGGAGGCGTGCAGAGACGCAGCCGGCTCTGTAACAACCCCACACCCCAGTTCGGGGGCAAAGACTGTGTTGGTGATGTGACTGAAAATCAAGTTTGCAACAAGCAAGACTGTCCAATTGGTAAGCTGTGAAGCCACCCTGGGAGCTTTCTGTTTTATGAATGTCACAGTCAGTATTTACCAGGGGGGAGGGAGGCTGTTCGGCTTTGACTGGTCCTGGTCGTCTGATTACTCTAAGATGTGGGTGGACCATTGCCAGTAGCAGAGGCCCTACAATGTCTCATTCTGTATCATTTTAAGTAGCACATGGCAGTGACGGCAACTTAGACCCAACCATTTCCCTGTCTCTTACCTCATCTCAGATGGATGCCTGTCCAACCCCTGCTTTGCTGGTGCCAAGTGTACCAGCTATCCTGATGGTAGCTGGAAATGTGGTGCCTGTCCTCCTGGCTACAGTGGAAATGGCATCCAGTGCAAGGATGTTGACGAGGTACGCAACCAATGGCTCTAAGTGATCAGAACGGAGAAAGCAGCTAACCCGGCTCAGGGCCCTTCCTTAAGACGGCATTTGCCAAGTGTTAAGCAAAATCGCATTTCATCCACAGTGCAAAGAAGTGCCCGACGCCTGCTTCAATCACAATGGAGAACACCGGTGTGAGAACACAGACCCTGGCTACAACTGCCTGCCCTGCCCACCACGATTCACTGGCTCACAGCCCTTTGGCCGAGGTGTCGAACATGCCATGGCCAACAAACAGGTAGAGTAGAGAAGTGGGCCAGAGTAGAAGAGGGCTGTCCTCGACCCAACAACTGACGGACAGAGGGGGCACTGCATGCACAGTGGGCAGCCAACGTATTTGAAAATGTGGGGCCGAGAGAAGCTGTGACCGGGTGGGCTTGCACATGCCATGTTTTACAAGCTGAGCAGCTCCAAGAAAATTCAGTGTAAAACAGCATTTGCCAGTAGCCTGGATATACTCAGAGAGAGTGGAGAGGGATGGAGGAATCCCACCTTTCTCCTAACGGGGCCGCTGTCTGCGCCAGGATGGGAGGGATCTGGACTCTCTGGTGTCTTGGGGCTTTCGAACATTCTCTGATAGTGTTGGGACGCTGTACCCTCAGGTGTGCAAGCCACGAAACCCCTGCACGGATGGGACGCACGACTGCAACAAGAATGCCAAGTGCAACTACCTGGGCCACTACAGCGACCCCATGTACCGCTGTGAGTGCAAGCCTGGCTACGCAGGCAACGGCATCATCTGTGGAGAGGACACAGACCTCGACGGCTGGCCTAACGAGAACCTGGTGTGTGTGGCCAACGCAACCTACCACTGCAAAAAGGTACGGCCAGCCGCCCTCAAGGGCTCCCCTCTCGGGAGTGTGCCAAGGAATTCTGAGTGTTGGAAAACTGAAAACGAAACAAAGATTAAATCTCCCAGACACAGAAGGGCATTGACACCCATTAGCATGGAGTCATTTTGGTGCCAAGATCTTGAATGAGACAGGATGTATGAAGCCTAGAGCATTTATACAGACTCCACAAGAGCAACCTCCCAAAGTACCTTTCGTGGCTTCACCTTGACATAAAAGCATGCCTGCCCCTGAGCTTCCTATTAGGCTGTCCCAGTGTGGCCCTCCAGGTATGTGCCAATGCTAACTGTCGCTGTCACGTGTGTCTCCTTCTTCTTAGGACAACTGCCCCAACCTTCCCAACTCGGGGCAGGAAGACTATGACAGAGATGGGATCGGCGATGCCTGTGATGACGATGACGACAACGACAAGATCCCGGATGACAGGGTAGGGACATCATGCTCTCTATCCCCCCTTCATCCCGAGACACTAGGATGTGCAGGCATTGCAGAGTGATAGCAAAAACATACCAAACCGATCTGCAGGACAATTAGAAACTGGTCACTGTGTCTCCATCGTTTGAGGACACAGATGTTGCTTAAAGGATTGTTAGAGTTTCATTTTTCATCACAGCCTCCCCCAGTTTGAGAAATCACAGCAAATACACTTAGCATTCTGCTTCCCAGATTCAATTCAGATGTAATGTCTAAATGCATGTGTTTTTATAATGAGAGCTGAGACGATGAAGTTATGTCCTGTATCTCTCTTAATTGTAACCAAAAAGAATCCAGTTTTTATCCATCAAGTCTTCCTGTCTTGGTATTTTACTTCCGCTGAATACTCAGTGTATTGACCAAGTACAAGGTAACTGCTGCAGACCTTTGAGGGTTTATAACACTGTGTATCAGGCTGAAGGCATCAGCTGGTCTCCCAGGCAGCATCAGAGAGCGTCCATTTCTCCTCTTTGCAGGACAACTGCCCATTCCATTACAACCCGGCCCAGTATGACTACGACAGAGATGACGTGGGAGACCGCTGTGACAACTGCCCTTACAACCACAACCCTGACCAGGCAGACACAGACAACAACGGAGAGGGAGATGCCTGTGCTGTGGACATCGACGGAGATGGTAAGGCATCCCCTGGCTTGACAGCCTGAAGAGACCGTGACAGGCACAGCGTACTTGGTGGCTGTTACTGAGTGATTTAGTTGAAATGTATGGGGCTGCAGGACTCAGCTCCCATCTACACCCCCTCCACAGGAATCCTCAATGAGCGAGACAACTGCCAGTATGTTTACAATGTGGACCAGAGGGACACTGACATGGATGGGGTTGGAGATCAGTGTGACAACTGCCCCCTGGAACACAATCCAGACCAGGTAGGTGGACTCCTTTCAGAATCTCTCGGTGAGGTACTGTGTCTCCTCTCTATGCCTTTAAAACAGTGAGTTCAAGGGACGTCGAACTCTCCCATTACTGGGGTTCCCAGCACAGCCAGAGACATCTGCAAAGTGTACCTGTAAAGTTTGCCTGATAATGAGCCCTTGGCAAACTCTCCCAGAGATTAGTGTGGAAACCCTGTGACCTCAGTCCTGTTTGCTGCCGCCATTAAGACAAATGCAGAGATGGACAGTTCTACAGTCCTGTCCGACGCGTGTGAGACAGAGGAAGGCAGTGTCCAGAAGCGAAGTGTACACCTGTGTCATGGCTAGCAACAGAGTCTGCCAGGAAATCAGGAAGCTAAAATACTTCTCAAAGCTGGAGAATTTCTCCCATTCTCCCAGTGAGCCCAGCCTCGTGGGCTCCTCCCGGCACAAGCCGTGGGTGCTACCGATGATGCACATGCGTGTAAACACATGGGTTCCCAGTGGAGTGTTTCCCTTCGTATCACTGCGCATCCATCGTGTCTAGGGAAAAAGTACAGCAGGTTTTCCGTTTCCTAAAATGATGCTTCTGAAAGGTTAAGCAATCCGAAATTTGAACAGAACTTTAAGGATTAGAGAAATGAGAACTGAAGTTTCTCCTAATTAGGAAGTTATATCATGCTAAAAGTAAGATGACTTAAAGCCATCATCATAGGAAACCCCGAGGGCCTGTATTCTCTGCTGGCCACGTGGCACTGAGATGGCCTGCTCTGAGTTCGGGTCTACCAGACATTAAACATCTGAAATAGCAGTTAACCTCACTGAGCGGATTTCTGATTCCTCAGATTAGAATAAATTTTATAAGCAAATTCAATCATCATATAAAAATCTCAAAAGCAAAGAGTATAAATAGTGTCAAGGAAGCATCCAGTTTTTATAGAAATGGTCCCTAAGCACCCACACATACTGAACGCTATGGACTCTGGGAAAAGTCTGCTTCAAAAAAATTTAGAGTTTGACTTTATCCAACAGATGAAATCTTTATGGAGTACATGTAGAAAGCCAAAAGCCGCAAAAACAAAAAAGTAATTAATGTCACATACATATTATGCAGACAGTCTGCACAGACCACTGCCATGACTCAAGGCCTGGAGTAGAAGTTGGCCTGTCAATGTTTGCTTTTGATGTCAATAGGAAATTACAAAATGTACATTAAGATATAAACAATAAACATTGCATTCCCTCGAGTGATTTAAAAATAACTCTGTGTTAAGCTCTCTTCTCAATTTTCATGTAAAAATAAGGATCAAGGTAAAACCCTCTTTAAAACTTGGTGTGTCTTTCTGTGGTAATAGAGAAGCAAGCATGAGTCCCGCATCCATGTCCAATGCGGAGAATGTTCCCTCCCCAGGGCATTAATGTTCCCTTTACCCTGGTGTCTGTTGTTTGACTCACCCGCCGTTGATGCCTCTCTTCCAGCTGGACTCTGACTCCGACCGCATAGGGGACACCTGTGACAACAATCAGGACATCGATGAGGATGGCCATCAGAACAATATGGACAACTGTCCCTACGTGCCTAACGCCAACCAGGCCGACCATGATAAAGACGGCAAAGGGGACGCCTGCGACCATGATGACGACAATGACGGCATTCCAGATGACAGGGACAATTGCAGACTGGTGCCCAACCCCGACCAGAAGGACTCTGATGGTGAGTCACCGTGGCCAGTACCGAATAGCATAACTGACACCTTAGCTGTCCAGACACAAGAAATGAAAACGGAGCATCTGAGAGGACAAAGGAACAAAACACCAGTATTTACGAGATCGTGACTTGGTGACACACTCATAATAGCATTTCAGAATTTCACGGAACTTTTGCCTTCTTTGACCTTAGGTGATGGCCGAGGAGATGCCTGCAAAGACGACTTTGATCATGACAACGTGCCAGACATTGATGACATCTGTCCTGAGAATGTTGACATCAGTGAAACCGATTTCCGCCGGTTCCAGATGATTCCTCTAGATCCCAAAGGGACCTCCCAAAATGACCCTAACTGGGTTGTACGCCATCAGGGCAAAGAACTCGTCCAGACTGTAAACTGTGATCCTGGTCTTGCTGTAGGTGAGTAGTGAGTTCCTTAGATCCAGAGGGGTACACTGGAAGGAGGTAAATATGAATCATGACCGTTGAACCTTTAATCCGACTCTGCCCTTGCCTTCCAGGCTATGACGAGTTTAATGCCGTGGACTTCAGTGGTACCTTCTTCATTAACACCGAGAGGGACGACGACTATGCCGGCTTTGTGTTCGGCTACCAGTCCAGCAGCCGCTTCTACGTTGTGATGTGGAAACAAGTCACTCAATCCTACTGGGACACCAACCCCACCAGGGCTCAGGGATATTCGGGCCTGTCTGTAAAGGTTGTGAATTCCACCACAGGACCTGGCGAGCACCTGCGCAATGCTCTGTGGCACACAGGAAACACCCCTGGCCAGGTAAGAAGCTGCATCATCTAGAAGGGAGAGTTGATGGGCCCTTGGGGAGTACTGGAGACAGTCGGCACTAGGGAGTCTTGGCTGTCAAGTTCCCAGCATTACCAACCGTGGTACAAAACCATAGTGTGCTAGAAGCAAGTGGGCTCTGACCAAGAGTTCCCCTTTAAACCCTCAGGCAGCTCCAGCCACTTCAAACAAAACCCTCCCTTCCCTTTCCTTCTCTCTGCTTCATAGTCACTGAGTGGCACACAGTAAGTGAGAGATGCCTTGGGGAAAATCCATACTGCCCCTTCTCCAAATACAGGTCGACTCGGTGCCTTTTAAGCAGTTTCTTGTGGAATGAAATAGGAATCTTCAGAGGGAGCTGTGTTTCAACCTTTTCTGGCCCTTTTCCTTCAGGTGCGCACCCTGTGGCATGACCCCCGTCACATAGGCTGGAAGGATTTCACTGCTTACAGATGGCGTCTCAGCCACAGGCCAAAGACAGGTTACATCAGGTAAGATTGCAATGATTGAATTTCACTGTAGTCACACCGAATAGGCTCAAAGGATAAGACCAGGAAGTAACAGTCTCATGAATGAGATTTTTTTTTTTTTTTTTTCTGTGCAGAGTGGTGATGTATGAAGGAAAGAAAATCATGGCCGACTCAGGACCCATCTATGATAAAACCTACGCTGGTGGTAGACTAGGTCTATTTGTCTTCTCTCAAGAAATGGTCTTCTTCTCAGACATGAAATACGAATGTCGAGGTAGGAGCAACACTGTGATGACTGTACAGTTGACATGTCCACAGATCAACAAGGCTAACCATGTCGGGGAGAGAGCGAGTCACTTCTGTTTTGCTTTTGAGGATACAATGCTAAACAGGAAGTAATGTCGATAGAATCCTGGATAGGAGCTAGCCCAGCTTGTCTCTGAACTCTTCCCACACAGGTCAGAGGCAGACAGTAAGCAAGTAGCTACCAACATTAGACCTTACTGGTAACACTTTAAAGTTCTGTGTGCTTACATACCTCGCACTTGGCTTATGATGTTCTTCATGCCATCAAACACAAACTGTTCTTCCCAAGACCAGGCACAGAGAGTATTGATTTTCACTAATAACCTTAGCTTGATTGCCTCCCTTTTCCCCACCACACGATTACTTAAACTCTGAGCCTAGCATTGGACCTACCACAGAGTAAGTTCTTAGTACATATTTACTGAGTCCCACGTCTGCACGCTCAAAGGCATTGGGTATTAAGATCAAAGACATCAAGAGTAAAGTCTCACTAACATGGCTGCCTAAACATGACCTAAACAAGGATGACACCACGAGACATGCTAATCTGGATGGGGTAGGGAGGCTCATGATTCTGTCCCTGTCAAAGCTAGAAGTTAGCCCTGAGTTGTTAGTCTGATGATTAATACTAAGATGACTGTATGCCTGTTGACTTCGTTTTCATTTATGTATATCTTTGTTCATTTAACAGATTCCTAATCATTAGCTGTCCATCACAACCAGCGCGGGCACTGCACCTTCCGGAACCAAGGGCTAGAGAAAACCCCCCTGCCAGGATCACTTCTCCTTGCCTACCTTGCTTCTCTTCTTGCATAGTGCAGACTTCTAGAGCACGTGACCTGCCTCAAGAAAATGCAGTCTTCAAACCCAGACTCAGCACTCTCGGCCTTTAATGAATGAGAACGCATCTTCCAAGAACGTGAAGAATTACTTTGGTTTGCTTTTGTGAAAGCAAAAGTGTCTATTTACTTCCCGCTGTGAAGGTGCCCGCTCCACTCTGCCTTACTCACAGAGCCCAGGGTTTCTGTGAGGCCATCTCTGCGCAGCACACTCAGAAGCATTTTCAGGCATGTCAGAGAAAGAAGGACTCACTAGAACTCGGCACCAAACCCCCCCTGACGTAGGTCCTCAGGAGTGGGGAAGCAGGAGCACTAGGGAGGATGCATACCCAAGAGATAATTGTGTGAAGAAAATATGGAGGAGCTGTTACTTGTTCGGTACTAAATCATTTTCAGAGGACAGAAAGACTTGTTGCATTTCCTCATGCTGGCTCGTGTGAGCTAACCCAGCCATCGATGAAAGCCTGGCTTCTGGACTTCCTCCCTTTGGGCGCTTCTCATGCGTCACCTGCAGTGGCCAGGGTAAGGGTCAGAAGTGTAAGGCAGTGCTGGCTGCCGTTGGCTGGTAACGCTGGAACTGTTGGTTTATTCTGCACCTACAATGTGCAGATTTAGCAGGAGCACAGGAGACCATCTCAGTGAGCTCTAGCTGCCTCTGCAGGGGGGGCAGCACGCCTTTATTTTATGGTTAGAAAGGCACAAAATTTCTATCGACCTAACTAAAACATTCCTTTTCCTTTTTTCTTTTTTTTCCCCTCAGTTACCATGGAGTTTTCCAATTCTCTTCTGGTTTTTGTGTAACAAACGCTTTAGCAATGTAATATATTTATATTTTTTTTTCTCCCTATTCTGGAGGACCCGTCTGAAGGATTGTTACTGAAACAGGAAGTGTGGGGCTATCTCAATCATCCTCATAGTGAGTCTTTATGACTGTAAGACTGTAAATACCGATTATTTATTAACCCTGTTCTACCTGGAATTAGATTGCATATGGCAAATGTTTGCGAGTAGGTAACTGAGCAGCTCAGCAAACCTCTCCAAAGCCAGTGTGCGGAAAGCCAGCAGAAGCCGCCACTTTTCACTTTGGGGCTTAGAGTGAATGACTTGGACTCCTTGGGCTTTTCTCCCTTCGTTTCCTCTGTCTTTTCAAGTGGAATTAGGTGGCTGCCCGTTTGCACGTGTTTCTCCTTGTAAAGGAAGCCATGAACACTCTAAGGCTGGTCCACGCCACCCCTTGTGCCTGTTTCCAGGGAGAAGAAAACATAATCACCTTTCTCTTTTCTTTTTTCTTTTTTTTTTCATTTTCCCAAATGAGACAAAGGTGGAACTTATATACAAATATTACCTCATTTGTTGTGTGACTGAGTAAAGAATTTTGGATCAAGTAGAAAGAGTTTAAGTGTCAATAAACTTAAAACTACTGTCGTGTCTAAGTCGGTGTTGTACATAGCATAAAAATCCTTTGCAGAAGATGATCCCAATAAAGAAATAGCTTTGAAATGTTAAATACAACTTCTTAAAGTTCTGGTTTTGGTCTATCATCTTGTATACCATTGGTTTATTTTTTTAAATTATTTTTTTCGCATTGCCATTGGAATAGAGATCTCAGACTATGTAGATACGCTATTTAAATAATTTATCAGGAAATACTGTCTGTAGAGTTAGTATTTCTATTTTTATATGTTTGCACACTGAATTGAAGAAATGTTGGTTTTTCTTGTTTTGTTTTAGTTTGTTTCTTCGTTTTTGTTTTGGCTTTTTACTTCCCAGTTTTTACTATTTGCAATACCCTTTTTTTCTAGGAACATGCTTTTTTGTACACATTTTTATCCATTTTACATTCTAAAGCAGTGTAACTTGTATATTACTGTTTCTTATGTACAAGGAACAACAATAAATCATATGGAAATTTATATTTATACTTACGGTGTCCGTGTTTGTTTTGATCTTTACTGTTTGGCTATCATGAGGTGTGGGCAAAAGCCATTCCTAAACCATAGCACATATGCAGCGTGGCAGGAAACAGCATTCATGGTTGCTGTATGATTGACAGACACTAGACTCAGAAGACACGTTTGCTAGATTTTTTGAAAGAGACACAAAGCATAAGTCTGCCATGTGAAAACCTTAAAATAAAAATGACCCCTGAGTCACCAGTCCCCAAAGAAAATATTACATATTTTATTAATATTGGGTGTCTTGTGTTGAATCCTCCAAGTCCAGTCCTGTCTCTAAAGGAACAGTGGTGACAAAGGAAAGGACAGCTGTGAGGACATGTGACTTCTCCTGACCTTAAGTGATGGCAGCAGGGTCACAGAACAGCAGCTCTCAGAGAAGTGTGAGGGGGGAGCTGGCCTGGACTCAGCCAAGTGCTCAAGACAACAGTTTGGAGAATACACACTCTGGGTCAAAAACAGATAGATAGTAAAGCAATGCAAAACGGGCTGGAGGGATGACCCAGCAGGTAAGAGGGCTGAAGTACCTGCTGCTCTTCAAGAGGACCCTAATCACAGCATCCCATGTGGGCAGCTCACTATCTCCTGTAACACTGCTTCCAGGGGATCTGATGCCCTCTATGCCCTCTTCTGGCCTTTGTAGGCACCTGCACACATGCATACACACACACACACACACACACACACACACACACACACACACACACACACACACACATCATTTTGATCATTTTGTTACAGCAATGCAAATTTTGGAAGGTATGTATGTGAGCGTGAAATTATTTAGTGACAAGAATGCTATCCTGTTCAAATGCTAAGCAGAATTTAAGTCTTGGGTGGATTAACCATGGATGTGGAAATCCAACTAATTTCTAGTTCTAATAAACAGATCAATGAAGAAATTCTAGCAGATGAAAGATGGCTTTGAGGTCTGGGAAACACTAAAAAAGACGGGCTGTGTGAGGTGGAATCGCCTCCCTGGCCAGCCTTCTCTGCTGTTCTAAAGCCACTGACCTAGGTGGCACAATGACAAATATGAAGTGCCCCTTCACCCTGCAGACCCACGTGACACAATGAGAACTAGGATGTGGTGAGAAAATGTTCTGAAAGTGAAAACTATCTGAAATGTGCCATCAGTTTCTCCCAGATTGCTCCATATGTGGATTCCTGGAGGAGAATTCTATTTAATTTTTAGCAAAATGTTGCAACAAAACTGATGGAGAATGCCAAGATGAGGCAGGAAAAAGTGGCCGGATCAGAGCTTTTAGGCCAGGCTTGTTCCGTTTTACTGTAAGAATGACCTTCAAGTCAGTAGATTACACCAGATTAAAGACTTGTTAAAAACGAGAATTACATCATCAAGATGATAGATTTTGACTCATACAGGAGTTTATTGTCATGTGTTCTGGGACTGTTTGGCTGAAAGGCCATAAACTGGGTCCTGGAGAATTTACAACCAAGGTAGTGTTGGTGGTTTACTAAAGAGTCCTGTCTAGAAAAACTATACTACAACCCCCAAATTCCTTTCTAAAGTGCTCTTGCGCTCTCCTCTCTCTCTCTCTCTCTCTCTCTCTCTCTCTCTCTCTCTCTCTCTCTCTCTCTCTCTCCCCTCTCCCCCCTTCTGCAATTTTTCTTCTTGTTCTGGAGAAAACACCCCAGCTTTACAGGAAGCCAGTATGGTGTGGCGTGGTGTGGTGTGGTGTGGTGGTGTGGTGTGGCTTGGTGTGGTTTTCAATCAGGAGACTGCCTGTTAAATTATACCGTGAATCTTGCTTACGCACCCTTGCCACTTTCAGCTGGCATGCTGTGGAATGATGTTATTCCTTTTAATTAGAAGGTTCACTACCAAACGTCATTATCGCCTTCCCCTTACCTAACTTTGGCAATAGCTGGGGTCCTCATGCCTCAAACACCATCTGCAGAAGCTTTCTGTGAAGTCATTAAGCCTGTGCAGTTCCCATAGAAACGGTGTCTTTTGTGTTTCTCTCTCACCTTCCCTCTCCTCTCGCCTCTCCTTTCTCTCGGCCTCTGTCGCTCCACTCCCCGCTTTCACACACATACCTCAAATACAAGAAAAGCATGAATGGAGAAAGTCTAAACTCCTCTGAAAGTCTGGTGGGCAATAATGGCTTCTCTCTGTCCCACTCCAAGTGCCCACCATGTCACCTCTTCCCTCTGGTTGTTCCCACCAAACTCTTCAGGACCCAGGAGTGCCACAAACTGTTCTGAGAAAACCTAAGATGGTGATTTTTTTTTTAACTTTTACAAGCATCGCACAGCAAAACTCAGGCATTAAGATAAATCACACTATAGTACATGGACATCAGTGTGTGCCATTGCTATTTTAAATGGATGAACAGTAGGCTGTGGGTATGGCTCAATGGTAGAGTGCTTGACTAGCATGTGCAAGGCCCTGGGTTCAATCCCCTGTACCTCAAAAACAAAATCAATAGAAATGGACAAGCAGCAAACTGAAACAGGAAGACAGGCTAAAGACATCCATATGTGTGGATGCTTGAATAACTATAGAAGCCTTCATTTCAACAAGTCAGGAAAATATAAGCTATCATTAATGTCAAATAGGGCCAGCACACAAAGGTATGCTGACGAAATGAACAATACTGTACATGCAGTAATCCAAACCATATTAAAGCTAGGGCCACAATAAGCTTATTGTGAATTAGGAATGAACTAGTCTTGCATCTATGAGGAAGCCAAGCCAACATACACGTGTGGCCATAAAAGTTTCTCACGAGATCAGATTACAGACTCAGAACTGGACAAACATTCTCTCTTGAAATAGTGCTACAGGATTTCTTTTAATAAGGTTCACCTTTATTTCCTGCATGCTAAAAGGCCCACATTCCACAAGAACATAACAGACTAAGAGTAATAAATAATCCATCACACTCCAATTTAAGAGAGATATCATCTGGCTCAGTGGTTAAGAGTATTGGCTGCCCCTCCAGAGGACCCAGGTTCAATTCCCAGCACCCACATGGCAGCTCACACCTGTCAGTAACTCCAGTTCCAGGGGATCCAACTCTCTCACACAGACATACATGCAGGCAAAATACCAATGTACATAAAATAAAAATAAATAAACTATTTTAAAATGCATTTATTTAAAAAAAAGAAGGAAAAGAAAAGAAAGGTAGCTTCACTAACAAGGGAGCAGACTCTGCTCACCTTCCTTTGTTATGGGAACTCATTTCTCCGCGAGGCGAGCTGCACTTATCGACAAACAGTAGACAAGCACAAAGAAGGGAAATCAGAGGCAGAACAGCCACGGTGGCCACATTCACCTGAATCAGATAGAGTTGAAACACGTAAGCCCAACGCAGTGGGTTGGAGGGTCAATGTAGTGACAGTGTTTGCCTCCGATGCACAAGGCCCTCAGTTCAATCCCCGGCACTGCCCCCAAAGAATCAAATATAGAGCAATAAATTCGTGTCCGCTACACTTAACACAGCCTGTGTGTATGTTACAATGTTGGTTTTTATAAAGTATCCTTGAGATTGTAACATTAGCAATACATTTGTAAACAATTTTCCCATGAATTTCAATGAATAAAAACCAACAAACATTTATACTCCAAGTTTCAAAATTATCAAAGGAATGAATGTAATCAGCAAAGAAGGGAATTCAAATGTTGAAATCATTTGAGGAATAGTCTCTATGATGCATTCATTGAATACAAAGAATTCAAGAAAAATATATATAATGCAACTTGATTTCCAACTTTCTTAAGCTTAAACCCCAGAAAGTCATGCTTCATATTCTTCTGGTTCATCCACAGCATCTCCAGTCTCCTGTTCATCTGCTAACAAAATAATCACAGTGATTATACAATCAGAAACATATGCATAATTAAGAAAAATCGTCAGTCAGAAACACACACATAATTAAGAAAAATCATTCAGCCTATTAAGCATTAAGTCATTCATTCTGCTGTATAACACAATGACCACAGCCTATTTGCTATGACAGTCACCACAAACTGCAGACAAGTCCACAGGGAAAAAGAAGGCGTCTGTCTTCACTGGAGTTACAGTTCAGAAAACAATTGAGGGTTGAAAGACTGAAGATTTAGGGGAAGACATCAAAATTACCTTTTTGCTTTCTACTAAGTTTCTGAGGAGTAGGCTGAAGCCCAAAGTAAATGCTCCATGGAGGACAGAGGAGACCGATAGCCTTTTTCCTCTTAAAAGAGAGGGGGAAGAAATGTTCCACCAATGGGGCATATTTTTCTACCTTCGATAGAAAAGTTAGCAAAAAAGGTAGAACCACAATGAAATCAAATAAGAGAAGACAATAAAAGAGGAGTAAGGAGAAAGCTGTAGGACGTGTGATCAAAAACTGTCAGTTCCTC